AAAAAAAAAAAAAAAAGATTGAAAAATGAAAAGAGGGGCTGGGGATGTAGCTCAGTGCAGAGACCCTCAGTGCAGGTAGTTCTATCCTTAGTAACACACACACACACACATACACATACACACACAGAGAGGAAGGTTTTTTTTGTTTGTTTGTTTGTTTGTTTTTTTGCTTTTTTTGTTTGTTTTTTTTTCAACAAATAATACACTGAATATAAGAATATAATAATAATATATTCTTCTTAGTGGTTAATTGCTGTACAAGATGCGGACTTGTGATCCTATTTACAAACACCATTAGAACAAATCATTCTGTTCATTAACAGAAAAATGGAATAAGGCTTTTTTTTTGTTTTGTTTTGTTTTGTTTTGTTTTGTTCCTCGAATGCCTTCAGGGCACTTTTGGCCAGCTGGAGAGGTGTGAGGTTCGAACTCCAGCAACCTGAGGCTGACAGCTTTGTGGAAGCAGCCACTTAAAGGCCTGAGCTAGGGCCAGGCCCCCGAGAGGAAGTTTTGTTACTTATGTTAACTATCCTATATATTTTGTGTGTGGCCCAAAATAATTCTTCTCCATTCATTGTGGCCCTCGCAAGCCAAGTGCATCCCACCTTGGACATGTCTGGTGATCCACATTAGTTATGGCACCCAGAAACATTGCCAGAGGCCGGACATAGTGGCACACGCCTGTGATCCTAGCACTCCAGAGGCTGAGGCAGGAGGATCACTGCAAATGAAAGGACACACTGGGCTACATAGTGAATTCAAGGCCAGCTTGAACTGCATAGTGAAACCTTGCTTCCAAAAGACATAGGGGACTGGAGGGGAAAGGAGGGAAAGGGAGGGGAGGGGAGGGCCAGCCACAATGCCTCAGAGCCAGACATGCTGCTGGTTCCCAAGATCCCTTCCTGTGCTGAGATGGCTCAGTGTTTACTCCAGAAGCTGAAAGGCCCCAGTGTGAAGAGCACCCCAACGCTGCTATACCACTTCCTATGCCAGGCTGTGCAGCAAAAATAAATAAATAAATAGGTAGGTAGATAGATGGATCCATGTGTACATTTTTTTTTTAATTCATGTATTTGGTACAGGGTCTCACTACGCAGCTCAGACTCTTAGTGATCCTTCTGTTTTCAACCTCCCCAGCACTGGGATTATAGGTGTGCGCCACCAAGCTCGGACTCAGTAGCCAGCTCAGCATGCCCCAGGGATTGAACCTTGGTCCCTGTGCTTGCCCAAGCAGGCGCTTAGTCCACTGAGCTATCCCAACACATTTTCTGCATATTTAAATGAAACCATAAGGGCCTGGGAGATAGCTCAGTAGAATAAGCACTTGCCTGGCAAGTGCAAGGCCTGAGTTCAATCCTCGGTTCCGCAAAAAAAATAAAAAATAAAAAATAAAAAAAAATAACAACTGCACTTAAAATGGGGCTAGTAATAGCTGCCTCATCAGTTATTGGGAGGACTGGGGCACATACCTAGGCCTGGCACATAGTTCAGTAAATAAAATTATCTTCTTTGTTCAGTCTTCTCCCTCTGCCGTTCTTAGCACTGCGGAATGTGTGCCATAGGTTCACCACTACTGATCTATAAAATGAGTAGGTATTTACTTATTCACACCTCGGAATCAACTACCAGCTGACCTCCCTAATGTCCTCTGTGGCCCACGCCAGGGGTTCTCTGCTTTCTGTCAGAAGAATTAGGCAGGGGCATGGTGACACAGGGATGAGGCTGTTCTCGTGCTTGTGCAAAAGGAAGGCAGCATTTAGGGGACAGAATGCCAGGCTGCTCAAAGGACCAAGGTGCACAGATTTTACAGCATCCGCAAGGACACAGGGACCCGGTCTCAGTGTGGTGGCATCAGAGGCAGCATCGTCATCGTACCTGTGCTCTTTGTCCTGCCTCTATGTGACACAAGTCTCAGTATCATCCTAAGTCTCATCCTGGGTAAGATTTTTTTGATTGAAACTGTCCTACCAATTTGGTTTGAAACTGTCTCATTGCTATTTGTTTCTCAATAAATTTATGGGGAAAAAAAGATTTTTTTTTAAAAGAATTATTTTTATTTATTTATTTATTTATTTATTTATTTTGTGTGTGTGGCCAGTTCAGCCCACCAGAGGGCGGGGCTGGCTGGCATGTGGTGCTGGGGGACTGAACCGTGGTCCCTGTGCTTTGCTTAGCTTAGCTTGTTCTAAGTAGATGCTTTAGACCACTGAGCCATCTCACCAGCCCAAGATTTTTTTTTTTTGATACAGGCTCTCACTATGCAGTTCAGACTCATAATGAGCCTCCCATCTCAGCCTCGCTAGTGCTGAGACTCTAGGTGTGCACTAGCACGGCACGCCCGGGATTCCAGGGCCTCTGGCACGGCATGCAGTACCAGGGATAGAACTTGAGACTTTGTGCTTGCCAGGGATGCGCCTGTGACACTGAGCTACCTCCCTGGCCCCTGGAAGTGATTTTTACTACACTAAAGGTACGGATCCTTCAGTGAGCGTTCCTTCAGTGAGCGTTCGTGCTTGCATTTTCCTCTTAGCATCTGGAATTTGCCTCTTATCGTCTGGGAGAGCACTAGTATAAGTTTTAGAACAGAGCAGACCATTGTCCTGTCCCACTGAATTTGATTTTAATGGCTTGCTTTTCCTGGCTGTGGCTTTTTGCTGTTTCTGCTGATCACAGAGTTGCAAAGGCCAAGCTGATTTCCTATTCTCTTCCCGTCGGGTGTTATGGTAGCTCCATAGCCTCCAAGACTGGTCCTCTTTTTAACTCCCCACTCTCTGGCATGTCTTTTAGCTCCACAGACCAAGGCAGCGTGGCTGGGCCTCCTTCTCCTGTCTCGTCATTGCCAGGTTGACTGACCTCATGTAACCTCACTCATTTCATCAGCTCAGAAAGCCTCTGTATCCCCCTAAATCCTACCACATTTAGTCTAAATTATTTTCCCCATCTTTCCAAACCTCTCCTTGCTTATGCCCCCAACTTTATTTCTCAGCATCCCCAACATGAACTGTTCCCAGGCTCTTTGCTTCTCTCCCCCACACACCCCTTACTGCCACCAGGACCTCACACACAGGTTATGTCCCTCAACTGTAGTTCCTGTGTCCCCCTCTCAGTCCACCTGAACCCGGCAACTGCCTGAAGGTCTATATCAGGCCCACTTCTACCACAAAGCCTATTCTACTATTGTTGATTTTTTGAGATGATCTCATTATGTAGTTCAGGCTGACCTTGAACTCATGGCAATCCTCCTGTCAGACTCTTGAGGTTGGGATGACAGGCCTGCACCCCCTCACCCAGCTTCCACAAAGCCTTTTCTTGACCACAGTGGTAACCACCAGTTTCCTCCCCTCTGGTCCCTCTTGGATAATTTGTGCCACCCATGTGGCTTGTTGCTATCTTAGCAATGTTGTTCATCCCTAAAAATGTTCCTCTTGGGGCCAGCAAGATAGCTCAGAGGCATAAGCACCTACCTGGCAAGCAGAGGACCCGAATTCAACCCCTGGCCCCACATACCATGCAGTCTTGGCCCCAGATGCCCTCCTCAGGCATGCCATCTTGGCCCCAGATCCCACTCTCAGCAAACCATCTGGGCCCCAGATGCTAGCACCCACTGTGCACCCCGGGTCCAGATCTGGTGACCCACGCCTGTAATCTCAGCACTAGGGAGGTTGAGACAGGAGGATCTCTGCAAGTTCAAGACCAGCCTAGGGGCTACAAAATTGAGCATAAGGCCAGCCTGAACTGCATGGCAAAACCTTGTCTCAAAAAATATAAGAAGTAAGAATATAATAAAAATATTCCTCTACAATAATAAAATTTTCAGAGTCAGCCAAATAGCTCAGTGTATTAAAGTGCCTGCAAGCAAGAGCAGGGGCCAGGAGTTTGATCCCCAGGCCTGCCATGCCGGCCCCGCCCCAGGGGCTTGCTGAGACAGCAATTGAGACTGGGCGCAGTGGTGCAGCCTGTAATGCCAGCTCTTGGGAGACTGTAAACAGGCAGATATGAGTCCGATCTAGTAGTGAGACCCTGAACACCCTGTAGACCCTTCCCTAAAATACAGAAAATAATAATAATAATAAATACAGTAGTAAAATTTTCTAAGAAGGCCTGGAGGAGCAGGCCTGTAATCCTAGCACTTGGGAGACTGAGACAAGAGGGTCATTGCAAATTTAAGGCCAGCCTAGGGTACATACTGAGTTAAAATTCAGCTTGAACTGCATAGTGAGACCCTAGCTCCAAAAATAGTACAATAGTAGAACTTAGCATATGCTGCTTGTAGATACGGTCATCTCACTCCTCTCTGCATCCCTGCCATGTCTGGAGATTAAGAATACTCCATAGATGAGAACACTCAGGCTCAGGGAAGTTAAGAAACCTGGCCAGGGCTGGTGATGGAGCTCAGTGTTAGGGCTTGTGCTTGGTTGGTGTGGTCAAGGCTCTGTTTGACCCCCAGCGGAATAGTGGAGGGAAGGGGGGAGTCTTTGCCAGAGTCCTACCAAAGGTCAGCAGCAAAGGAACACTGGAGTTCAGGTTTCCTCCCCTAAAATTCAGTGCCCAGGCCCCACAGCTGCCAGTGTCCACCCCGCAGCACACATAGCTGACCAGAGACCCTGGTTTCTCAGGCCTGTCCCAGGCTCCTCCTGTTGTCTTAGCTTAATTACTTCCATCACCCCCTTGTACTCTCAGAAGTGCCCTGCTTGGGTGATAACAGATCTAGTGCTCTGTGCCACTTGGGCAGCCCAGGGGTGGCTTTCAGTAATTGCTGGACTGAAACACTGCTGGAGATTTCTGACATCTGCTTTTATGATCCTATTTGCTTTATTTGTGTGTGGGTTGACAGCTCTATGACCTGATGACTATGGCTTTCAAATACCAAGTATTACTGTGTCCCCGACCCAAGGATGTGCTGCTGGTCACTTTCAATCATTTAGATGCCATCAAGGGATTCATCCGAGATTCCCCGACCATCCTTCATCAAGTGGATGCGACTTTCCGGCAGCTGACAGAAGTAAGAGCATCATCCGTTTATCTCCTTCCAGCCCCATACTTGCTCTCATTTCTCCATCAGAGCAGACAGAGTCTGTGACACAGAGGACAGGTGAGGAATGGCAAAGCCTGCCACTATCCCAGCACCTCTCCCTAATCCACCAGTATCTATTTTGTTAATGCGATCGACATTGTCACCCAATGGCCTCTGCTGTCACCTAAGTAAATGGGAAAGCAGTGAAACAGAGCAGAGCCATTCTCTCCCGACTGTTCTGGAAGGGCGTAGGTGGTGGACATCTGCTGAGCCCTAGGGACAGCCTCTGCAGGCCTGCAGAGGGTAGAGACATGTCATGTCCCCCTGCTTGGCTGTGGCATTGTAGACTTTGTCCAGCTGCAGAGAGAAGGTGCCCTCACCCCTGAAGCCCTCCTTTACCCCTTGCTCATGGGCTCCTATCACTGAGTTCCCCGCCCCCACTCTTCTCCCCAGGAAGGTGAAGGGTTTCTTTCTGCTTTGCCCGCAGGTGTATGGGGTCCTCTCTGCAGGTGAGTTCCAGCTGATCCGGCAGACACTTCTCCTCTTCTTTCAAGACCTACACATCCGAGTGAGTGAGTGGGTGGGTGGGTGGGACACGCTGCCTCTGCTGACATAGGGAACGCAAGTCACCAGGGCAGACAGGGCTCGAGATCTTGCCTGTTAGTGATTCCCATCATGATTTGAATCTGTGTGGGCCAGGGAGATGGCTCAGTAGAATAAACGCTTCCCTGGCAAGCGCAAGGGCCTGAGTTCAATCCCTGGTTCCGCAAAAAAAATAAAAATAAAAAGAAATGATTACTTCTCTTAGGGCCAGGGAGATGGCTCAGTAGAATAAGTGCTTCCCTGGCAAACACAAGGGCCTTCAATCCCTGGTTCCACCAAAAAAAAAAAAAAAAAGAGAGCCAATGATTTGAATCTGTGAGGATATGCTTTTTTTGAATTTATTTGTTTCTTACAGGGTTGAGGATTGAATGCAGGGCCTCTACACTGAGCTATATCCCCAGCTCTTTATTTTGTTATTTTGAGGCAGGGTCTGGCCACGTCCCTTAGTTTCCCGGACTCTGCTCAAACTTGTGATCTTCTGCCTGAGCCTCTAGGGTTACGGACATGCCCCACCACACCCAGTTTCCATGTGCACACAGTTCATCTCAGCAGTTCTGAAATACACTGAGGATGACCACGAGGCCACCATTCTTTCCAAGTTACTCTGTGAGTTTCTTCGAAATGCAGTTTCATCTTAGGCTTCTGTGGAGGAAGTGTGCTCGCAAGGCACCCGTCTGATCTTACCTCCACACTTTTGCTCGAGCCTTCTCATCCCCGACTTGTCCAGCGTCAGGCACTGTCCGCAGGCTGCTGACTAACACTTCCTGAGCTTCTGTGCTCTGCTCCATCCCGATGCCCTTCACACCTTCCCCTCCCCCCCCATGTCTCCAGACCTTCCTCCCCCTCACCTGCCCTCTGTTCTTGATGATCTCTTCCCCTGGGTGTCTTTCCCCTCCCTTTGGCTACCAGCTCCTTTGCCTGTGACCCCTGAACCTGACTGCACCCCACCCTCAGGTCCACAGCTCTGTCTGCAGACTGGAGCTCTCCATAGTCGCCCAGGGACTCCCACCTCAGTGCCAAGGACCTAGACTCATGTCAGTCGCAACGCTGTCCCATCTTTCTGGTTTCTTTGAGAACACCACCATTTTTCCACTTACTTGACTCAGAATCAGAGTATAACCTTCAATTCTTCTCCTTTAGTCTTCCAAACACATTGCTGAGCTTCTTAGCCAGAAGCTGCAGGCTAGAATCTCCTGGCCTGGATTTTGTTCCCTGCCACAGTTTAGAAAATTGAGATGGAAAAAGTGACATGCGCACAAGCCAGCTTTCTATCACTGGGACAGAGTACCTGAGAATAGCAAGGAGCAAAGGTTTCTTTTAGCTCCCAGTTTCAGTCCATATTCTGCTAGTTCTGCTGCTTGGGCCTGAGGTGAAGCAGAGCATCATGGTGCAAGGGCTCAGTGAAGCAGCAGCTCACCCCACGACAGCCAGGAAGCAGAAAGCCAGGAAAGGCAGGGGGCCCAGGACACATACACCCTGCACCACAGCTCCCCCAGGAACCATCTCATCATTCAGGCCCCACCTCCTAAATTCAGCTAATGAACTCATCACTAGCATAATCCACTTGAGGGAGCCAGAGCCCCTGTGATCGCCCTGCTCCCCGAAAGCCCATCCACTGGCATCCAGCACATTGAGCCTTTGGGCAGATGTTTTGGTTGCCAGCCATCCCATTACAGCACAGCAACAGAAGCCCAGGCTGAGTTAGACACTCTGTGTTTGAATCCCAACTCCAGGGCTAGCTCCATGATTTGAGGACATTACTTCTCTTGAGAACTTAGTTTCTTCACATGAAAATTGGATGTTCTAAATCAGTAGTACCTGATTTAGAGTTTCTCAGGACTGACAGAAGCATCAGGTGTGAAGTTCTGTACATGTATTTGCTTGTATACACAGCTATAGCGTGTTTCTAGAAGGATAGGCAAGAAACTGGCCACATTGGCTGCTGTGCAGTGGTGACTGTGTGGAGGACGGGGGTCAGCAGAGAGACTTACTTTCCTTTATATATTCTCTTCGGAACCTTTTGAACCTCACACCTGCATGTGTGTTACATACAAAATAAAATGCAAAAGAGAAATAGAGCATGTTCAGCACCTGTCCAGATTTCCCTCCCATGGATCACAGAACACATATGGATTTCAACTCTGGAGCTAATAACATTGACATAAATTCAGATTTCAAAAGTCAGGTTTGGTGGCCCACACCTATGCTCCCAGCACGCAGGAGGCTGAGGCAGGAGGATTGCTATGAGTTCTAGGCCAGCCTGGGCCACATAGAGAGACCCTGTCTCAAAAACAGAAAAATTTCTACTGGTCACAGATTAAAACAAAAATATCAAAGTACAAATAATTAGTTATGCATGAATTTTATTTATTTATTTTTATGTATTTAGGACAGGGTCTACAGGGTCTTGCTATGTAGATCAGACTCATAGTGATCCTTCTGTTTTCAGCCTCCCAAGTGCTGGGAATACAGGTACGCACCACCAGGCCCAGTTTCAGTTGCCATCTCAGCGCGCCCCATGGGCAGGTTGCACCAAATTTAAAATCAGTTTTAAAATACTAAAAATGGGGCTGGGGAGATGGCTCAGTAGAATCAGCGCTTCTCTGGAAAGCGCAAGGGCCTGAGTTCAATTCCTAGTTCCGCCAAAAATAAATAAATAAATAAAAATAAAATACTGAAAATTCCACATAATATTGTTACCAAAACCATGCATATTTGGTACATTTTACGGGTTGTACCAATAGAGGAATAGCCATATTGATTTTTCAATTCTGACAAAATTACTTATAATGAAAAAGGCTTGCCTAATAATAATTCTGTAGCAAAATCATTAAAATATATTAAACCACAAAATATATAAATGCTAAATGGGTGACAGCAAAACATTGGAACACTTGCCAAGAGAAATAGAAGTCTAGGCATCAAGCGTAGTCCACCCTGATCTGGAACATCCGGGCTGCTTTGCTCGGTCATGGTATTTCTTCTTCGCTGCAGTTTGTGATGCCTATACAAATTTTGTTTCCAAAAGAGCCTCTACAGTTTCTAGATTTGTTAGCAAAACTAACTAAATCAAGAAAGCATAACTCTACTCTATTCCTTCCATAATGTTGAACCAAAGCAAATATAAACAGAACTGCTCATTGATAAGTTCTGTGACAATGCTAACCAGCACAAAACGTCCGTATTGTGGCTCAAGCCCTAATCTGCGAACCAAGGCTGTACAGAGACTGTGTTAAGATAGAGTCTGCCTAGAATCCTCAGCAGTTATTTACAGCCATCTTGGTGCCAACCCTTCAGCCACTAGGTTTCCTCTGCAGCCACTGCCTCACGACCAGCTCCTCGGTCCCTCTCCCACACCCCAGCCCATGCACCCTTCCTCCACAGTCTCCCCACTCCCTCGACTGTTTCGCTTTCCAGGAGACATCATTCCTGCTTAGCCTCATCCTCTCATATTCCCTGTACCTCTGCTCCATTATCTGCTCTTTGGAAACAGTCCATCTCCGGAAGTTAGCCTAGCAGATACTTACTCACTGCCTACTCTATGACAGGTGCTGTTATGTGTTTGAGATATGTGAAAGAACAAAAGCAAATCCAGGCCTTGCAGGAAGAGAATGGGCAGACAATTATGTTATGCTCTTGTGAAGGAAAGGGGAATAGCAGGCAAAGCTATACAGAGCCAGGGGGAAGCCAGACATGGTGGTGCATACCTGTAATCCCAGTATTTGGGAGACTGAGACAGGAGGTCACTGTGAGCTCAAGGCCAGCTGGGCTACATAGTGAGACCCTGTCTCAAAAAAAAAAAAAAAAAAAAAAAAAGGTATAAAACTAAGCTGGGCATGGTCATACATGCCTCTGGTCCTACCGTGGCAAAAAGATCCTTGGCCAGCTGGAGATGATCTAGCAGGTAGCAGAGAGCCAGGGAAAGAGCGTGATCAATACAAGTTGCGGTAGAATGGAGGGTGGATTAGAAGTGGCAGGAAGGAAGGCCAGGACACTTCCAGCTAGAGAGGGTGCAATAGCAAGCAGAAAAAACAAAACTATAACCCAGGATTTGGATGCAGATTTATTTTACTTTGATGGGCACTGATTGGGGTCATTTCCAAAATATCAGGCCTCAGAGGTTCAGGGAGGGAAGTTTTTAGAGAGTTACAAAGGGGAAGTAGAGAGGTAGAGTATGTGGCTATCTCTGATTGGTTCTTACAATATGCATCTTACCGACCAGCTATGCATCACAGTGACCCGCTGTTTCTAAGAAACAGAAGTAACAGGAACTATGACCTGGGTAACTAACAGGCTGGGGAGGCATTTCTGATACAATGGAAGCAACTGGGTAGAGAGAAAGGGTGGGTATGATTGACAGGGCCTGGCAGTTGAATAGACAGAAGGGGATGGAAGCAGAGGCTCTCTGTTCACACATTTTGAGACCTGGTAGTGTCATTCACTGAAACTGGGAATTCCAGAGAGACAGCAGATTGGAAGAGACAAAGAGCAGCCTGTTTTTGAGAAGGGGAAATGTGAGGTGCATGCTGGGACCTAGAGGTGGCCATGTGTGGCAGCAGTGGGATGAACGGTGGGTACCCAGGGAAGGAGGCTAAGAGGGAACTGAGGATGTGGGAGCCCTCAGCGCAGAGGTGAGCCTGGAATATGAGAGCAGATGAGATGGCCTGGGAGAAGAAAGTGTGGAGGGAGAGGAAAAGAGCACAAGTGAGTCACGCCTACAGCGGGGCCAGCAGCGGGGCTGGCAAGCAGGCAGACCCAAGGGCGCTGCCCAGCCCGGGCTGAGCTCCTGTGTCAGCAGTGCGGCTGCACAGTACATGAATGCGCTTCCCACCCCACGCCATACCCACCAGAGCTGGCCTAACAAAGGGTCCAGAGTCTCATTTCTAAATTTTTTTCTCCATTTGCTAAGCTCACATTCCCTTATCACAGAGTCTAAAAACTCAACTTTCTTTAAAAGGTCATCCATGGGGCCGGGGAGATGGCTCGGTAGGATAAGTGCTTGACTGGCAAACGCAAGGATCTGAGTTCAGTCCCCGGTTCCACAAAAAAAAGGTCATCCAGCCAAGCCCCCCCAATCAAGTCAGTTTTTACCCCCCCCCCAAAAAAAAAAAAAAAAAACATGCCATACCTTCTCCACTATCCTTGGGAAGTGTCTCCACACCCACCCCTTCATCCTTAGGTCCAAACCCACTGTCACCCCCGCCCCTAAGACCTGCGTCACTCTCTTCAGTGAGCTGATATGCAAGTGCTACCTCTCACATCCTGCTAGTCTGTGGTGCTCTTTTCTGTGTTATGCGTGTGCTCTGTATTCAAGGAGACTACTGCTGTTCATGAAGCTCCTGACTATGTACACTGGCCTCTGCTTTATCCACCTCTCCAGTGTATAAGGAAGGATGGATAAAGCAGGGCCTGCACATGCTAGGCAAGTGTTCTACCCCTGGCTACACACCCTGAGACCCCAGGCTCTTCTTCTGCACATGGTCTGACTCTGCTGTTGCTAACTCATGAAGTAGGCACTGCTACACCCCCAGTTAACCAAAGAGAGAGTTGATGCACAGAAACATTGTGTGGTATGCCCGGCACCTCATGCTGAGCCAGCCACTGAGTCCAGGTGTGGTGGTGCACTCCTGTAATCCAAGCACTGGGGAGGCTGAAAACAGGAGGATCACTATAAGTCTGATCTGTGTAATGAGACCCTCCACCAAATACATACAAATAATTAATTTTTTTTTGACCGAACCAGGGATTGAACGCAGGCCCCTGCTCTTGCCATGCAAGTGCTTATTCTAGTGAACCATCTCTCCAGCCCCTAATTTAATTTTTTAAAAGAGGTTGTGTGAAAAACCATAAAAAAAAAAAAATCCAGAGCCATGGCTGAAGTTGTAGCTCAGTGTTAGAGTCCACTTTTATCACTTAGGGCCCTAGGTTCAGCCTCCAGCATCATAAAAAAGAAAAATAAGCCTAGAGCAAAGAAGGGGCCCAGCTGACAGTTAAGCCTGTACAGTCTAAAATTAGACTGCCAAGTCGCCAACTTACAAATCTTATCATTTTGGGGCCATGGAGATAGCTCAGTGGTCTAAGCAACTGCCTAATCAAGCACAAGGACCCAGATTCAATCCCTGGTACCACATGCCGTGGCAGCCCATCCTCAGGCACACTGAGTCTGCCACCAAGACAAGGCATGGTGGTGTGTGCCTGTAATTCCAGCACTGGGGAGGCTGAAACAAAAGGATCACTGAGTCCGAGCTGCATTTTTTTTTTTTTTTTTTTTTTTTGCAGAACCAGGGATTGAACTCAGGCCCTTGCGCTTGCCAGGGAAGCGCTTATTCCACTGAGCCATCTCCCCGGTCCCCAATTTTTTTTAATCTTATCATTTTGTATTTTCACTGTGTCATACACAACAGATGTGTATTCCTTTTTTTTTGGGGGGGGGGAATGTACTGGGGATCAAACTTAGGACATTGCATTTGCTAGGCAGGCACTGATGCTGCTGTCTCCCTGCCCTGTGTATTCTTGATGATATTACTAATATAAATTTGTAGAATTACAGCATTGGAAGGGATCTTCAAGTTTCTCTCTCATTTTTGAACATGAGAACACTAACACCCAGACCGGCCAACCCCTCAATACAGTGTACACAAGCTAGGAAGCAGAAGTAGACGTAATATGAAGCAGGATGTGGTGGCACATGCCTTTGGTGTGAACAACTCAGGAGGCTGAGGCAGGAGAATCATAAGTTCGAAACCAGTCTGAGCAACTTAACAAGACCCTGTTTCAAATGGGAGGGGCAGGTAGGGAAGGACAACATAATATGCTTTCAGGAAAGACCTTGCAGCTGTAATGCTGCCTGGGCCCGCCTGCTCCAGCCCACAGTTCTCAGCAGGCCACCATGTGGATAAGAGCTCAGGATTCAGAACCAGAAACAGAAAAGTTTGCATCCTCAGCTCTAGTCTTATGAACTGGCAATCTCTGAGCAGCTGATTGCTCATCTATGAGATAGCACTGAGGTTCTTACAGCACAAAGCCTATAGCTGCATGGAAAGTTATCAGGGAGGTGAGGAATGGATATGAAATTTGAATCTCTTTGGTAGGTGGGTGTGTGGGTGGTTGATTTGTTTGTTTGTCTTGTGGTACTTGGGACCAAATGCGGGCCCTCTACCACTGAGCTCCATCCCAGCCTTTTTTACTTTTCATTTCGAGACAGGGTCGTACTAAGTTGCCCAGGCTGGCCTCCAGCTTTCAATCCCCCAGCCTCACCCTCCTGAAGAGCTGGGACTACAGGTATGCACCACCACACCTGGCTCAACCTTGCCTTTGAGTCCCAGCCCTGCCTCTTACTACTCTCCTTGGGCAAGTCACTTCACTCATCATCTTCATCTTTAAAATGGAGGTATCTGGGTGTGGTGACCCCCATACCTCTAATCCCAGCACTCTGGGAGGCTGCAGCAGGAGAATCCTAAATTCTGTCTCAGCCTGGGAAATTTAACAACTTAGTAAGACTCTTATCTCAAAATGAGGGGCCCGGGAGATAGCTCAGTGGCATAAGAGCCTGCCTGGCAAGTGCAAGGTCCTGAGTTCATTCCCTGGTACCAAAAATAACACAAAATAAATAGAGGCTGAATATATACCTCCCTGGTAGAGTGCCCCCATGTTTGATCCCTAATGTCACAAAAATAAAATTAAAAATGCAAGTATTATAACTCACTTGGAAGGTTTACTGTAAGACTCAAAAGTAGTCCTGTCTGCAGAAGTACTGTAATTCTGCACATTGTTATGCTAAGTTCTTATGTAAACTTATCAGGTAAAATTCCCAAATCATTACCCAGTTTTCATCCTCAGAATATCTTATGTCCAGCCAAGCATGGTGTTACACACCTGTAATCCTAGCACTTGGGAGGCAGAGGCAGGAGGATTGCTGGGAGTTCAAAGCCAGCCTGGACTCCACAGTGAGTTTAAGGCCAGCCTAACTACATAGTGAGACCCTGTCTTTAAAAACAAAAATATAGGGGCTAGGGAGATGGCTCAGTGGAGTAAGTGCTTATCTGGCAAGCGCAAGGGCCTGAGTTCAATCCCTGGTTCTGCCAAAAAAATAAATAAATAAAAACAAAATAATATTTAAGTCTATAACCATGGAAACATATCCAGAAAAAAAATGACTATAAATACATTTTTTTCCAGGTATCCATATTTCTAAAGGACAGAGTTCAGAATTCCAACGGTCGCTTCGTGTTGCCAGTGTCGGGGCCTGTCCCCTGGGGAACTGAAGTTCCCGGACTCATCAGGTGACTCCTCCACCGGAATTACCCGCAGCTCCGAGGTGCCAGGGAGGTAGCCTGTGGCGCTCCCCAGCATGCAGTGCAGCGTGGCTCAGCCCTCCTGGCTCTGCTCCCCTTGTGCTGTCTGCAGGAAAGCGGAGCTTTTAAGTAACTCAGGATCTAACACTGGCTTGGCCAGTTAGCGGAGGGATTCAGGGCAAGCCACCCCGTTCCCTCAGATTCGTTTTCCCTCCAGCTTCAGGAAAACGACAGTGCTCTAAAGTGGTCACACAGGGGGCCCAGCCCTAGCTCAGTTCTTTAAGTGGCTGCTTCCACAACGCTGGCAGCCTCAGTTTGCTGTAGTTCGATCCCCACAACACTCCAGCCATGCAAAAGTGCCCTGAAGGCATTCAAGGAGCAAAAAAAAAAAAAAATTCCTTATGGGCTGGTGAGATGGCTCAGTGGTCTAAAGCACCTACTTAGAACAAGCTTAGCAAAGCACAGGGACCGCAGTTCAATCCCCCAGCACCACATGCCAGCCAGCCCCGCCCCCTGGTGGGCTGAGCTGGCCACACACACACATACACACACACACACACAAATAAATAAATAAATAAAATTTAAAAAAAATAAAAAAATTTAAAAAAATAAAGTGGTCACACAGTACTCGGCACATAGTGTGCATCCCGTGAATACTGCGCTGCTGCTGCTGCATTACTCCTGTGATCACAGTCAGCACCTTTACTTGCTTGCTTGTTTGGTTGGTTTTCATTTTTTTACACAGAATCTTGCTATGTAGCCCAGGTTGGCCTTGAATTCACTGTATAACCCAAGGTGGCTTCAAACTCCCGGCAATTCTCCTGCTTCAGCCTCCCAAGTGCGGGGATTACAGGTGTGCGCCAGCACACCTAGCTGCATCTTCTTCTTGAAAGAGTGTATGGAATCCCCTTTTTGTCCGGTAGTACAAAGAATAAGGAAGCCTCAGGAGCACTCATGCTTCAAGCATACTCTCTGATGCCATGCTTTGCATTTTAGAATGTTCAACCACAAAGGTGAAGAAGTGAAGAAGACAAAATTCAAGCATGGTGGAGACTATGTCACTGCCCCCAAAGAAGGTTCCTTTGAACTGTCTGGAGACCGAGTCTTGAAACTGGGAACTAACATGTAAGCAACTCCTCCCTCCTTAAAGGAAGGGAAGTCACTTAATTCAGAACAACCAGCCTGACTTCTGCTGTGGAAGCCCCTGCTGACAACTGCACTGTTCCATTCCCTTATAGCTACAGTCAGTGCCAAAAGGACACCCAAGGCCTCCAAACACAGGGTGACCCAACAGGTTGACAAGAAAGCTAGATTTAAACAGTCTTGGAAGATCATGTTTATCCTAGCACTTGGGAGACTGAGGCAGGAGGTTTGCCTTGAGTTCAAGGCCATCCTGTGCTACATAGTGAGATTTTTTTTTTAATGTATTTAGTATAGGGTCTACAGGGTCTCACTACACAGATCGGAGTTGTAGTGATCCTCCTGTTTTTAGCCTCCCAAGTGCTAGGATTACAGGTACGCGCCACCATGCCCAGTCTCAGTCGCAGTAAAATTGTGCCCCGGGGGCAGGGCCATTGTGGCACACCCGGGATCAAACCCCAGTCCTTGGGCCTGCCTAAGCAGGTGCTTTAGTCTGCTGAGCTATCTGTAGCCAGAGCTGCTGTTGCCATGGAAATCCAAAGAGGCACAGCTTGCACCTGTCTTTTCCTCACTATGTATGACTGTTGAGAAGAAGCTCGGCCCCACAGCTCCTCCAAGGATTTTTCTTTGGGAAGAAATAAAATAAAATATGAGTGGCTAATAGTTGTATCCGGTACTCATAGTACCTTTCTGAAAGCCACTAAAAAGCTGACCGCCATTGACAAGTTTAAAGGAAAATAGTGAAAAGCACTAGGTCCTGTCACCATTTTCTGTTGACGCCAGGTACAGCGTGCATCGGCCCGTGGAAACGCATATGTCTGGAGCATCCAAGAGCTTAGCCTCACAGACACAGGTGAGCGTCCGCCCCTTCCCCCTCCTCACCGCATCTTTCAGGGTACTGAAATCTGCACGAGGGTAAGGGTGGGAACCGTAGATTTCAGAGCTCACCCACATTTCTCTCATTGTTTGCAGTCTTCTCCAGGCAGGTGTACAGGTTTGTAATTGTAACTTTTTATGAAGCCTTCCAGGGATCTGACTAATTAGGCAATTTTAGGCTTGGTTTACCCACCATAATTAAGCGGGAACCACATAGCAGGGCATGTGACATTGCATTGTACCGGTGTCATTAGGTACCACGGGTGCTGAGTCCGGCACTCGGTGTATGCTGACTATTAAATCATGCTGTTTTCATGTGTTCCTATGTAAAACTTTTCAATAATTTTCATTAACTAGCTATAGCTAACTCTAGGAAAAATATGGAAGAGTCAGTTATTAAGTAAACACTTATCAAACTGGTCCTGTGAGCTGGATACCAGGGACACAGATGGCGTAAATGTGTTCCCATCCACAAGGGGCTTATAGTCCCCTAGAGAAGACAGTGGTAGGAAAAGTTAACTCTAATGAAGTGGGAAGTGAGATCACGGAGTGTCCTGTGCCAGCACACATTCTGTCCCGCAGGGTGGATGCTAAGGGACAAGTAGTATCAGAAGACTTTTCACCAGGCGCTGTGGCACACAGCTGTGATCCCAGGAGTCAGGGCTCAGGAGGATTGCAGAGAGTTCAAGGCCAGCTTGGGCTACATGGCAGGACCCTGTCTCCAAAAACAAATAACAAAAGGAAGACCTTTCAGAGGAGTTGATACTGAAGTGGGGCTCTAGACATACTAATTAGCAGGGTGACAAAGTGACCAGAAGCAAGAGGACAAAAGAGCAGTGAGGCCAGATCATAGGATAACTGAGGCAGGTGGCAGAGACGACACTGGACAAGGACATGGGGCCCAATTTTGCAGGAAGAAGGTGCGGTAAACAACTTGACTGTGTTCTTTAGACATAAAGTAGAGGGATTTCTGTCAGGGAAGAAAGGGGCTTGCTGATTAGCTCAGCTATTTAAGCACATGAATGGGCAAACCCAGTCAGGCACAGGGGACCCAGCTTCACATGCCACACCAGACCCTCGCTTTTGGCAGCCTGAGCCAACCAAAAAAAAAAAAAAAGCATATCAAGGAAGAAAGAAATGAGCCAAATAGCTCAGCAGATTTTGGGGGCCGGAATGTGCTGAGATGGTAATTGAGACTGGGCATGATAGCACACACCTGTAATCCCAGCTCTTGGGAGGCTTTAAGCAGGCGGACCGCTACGAGTCCAATCTAGTAGTGAGACCCTGAACACCCTGTAGACCCTTCCCTAAAAATAGACCAAAAAAAAGCAAGAAAGAAATGAGACAAGAACTGTGTTTTGGGTAACGGATGGACGGATGGTAGAGGGTTAGAGACAGCCAGGGAGGGAGGGTAGGAGGATGGGTGTAGGGAGGGGTAAAGGAGGAAAAGCAGCAGGGAGTGGCTTGGATGGCATGTTCGAGGCTGTGACCACCAGAGGGCAGTGTGGTACTGCTCACTGATGGTGCCTTTGGACCCAGAGATTTGACTGGGGCTCCTGGTGCCGGCTGAGAGAACTGGGCTGACAGAGAGGGAAGTACAGCTGTTCTCTCTTCAGGAGAGGGGAAGGTAGTCTGAGGAGAAGTGTGATCCCCGGGCACCACACTCATCTTGAAAGTATTAGCATCTCCAATTTGCTGCATTGCTTAGATTTTTTTCTGCTGCTAATGCAGATTATTTTTTCTTTTGGCTCAGCCTGCTTCCTACACTTTAGTTGAACCCAAAAAATATTGAACTAGTTGGTGCGTTACCTTGTTTCACAAAGCCTTGCTGGGTCCCTGGGGTCTCTGCAGGAAGTGTGATCGAGTTCATGTGACTACAAGTCGTGCAATTGTTTCTGCAGAAAAGCCTTGCTCCAAACCCTCTTGCTAAAGAAGAGCTGAACTTCCTGGCCAGGCTAATGGGAGGAATGGAGATTAAGAAACCCAGTGGCTCTGAACCCGGATTCCGATTGAATCTCTTTACTACTGATGAAGAAGAAGAGTATGTTTCAACCCTGTTTTTTTAAAGACATCTGTAAAATGCTAACCATCTAGGGGCTGGAGAGAGGGCTCAGTGGTCTAAAGCACCTACTTGAAACAAGCTTGGCAAAGCACAGGGACTGCGGTTCGATCCCCCAGCACCACATGCCAGCCAGCCCGCCCCCTGGTGGGCTGAGCTGGCCACACACACACACAATAAATAAAAATAAATAAATAATTTTTAAAAAAAATGCTAACCATCTAAACATACCAGTTGCAAACCAATGATACATATAAATACAGTAGATCACAAATGAAGTACCAGGGGGCCAGGGAGATGGCTCAGTGGAATAAGCGCTTCCCTGGCAAGCGCAAGGGCCTAAGTTCAATCCCCGGTTCTGGGAAAAAAAAAAAAAAAATGAAGTACCAGCAAATTCAATATCCTGGTTAAAGAGGTTCCCCAGGATTAGATGGCCTGAACTTACTGGAGCCATTCAAAAGGAGTGCTAGCCAGGTGTGGAGGCACACTTCTGTAATCCTAGTACCTGGGAGGCTGAGGCATGAGGATCACAAGTTGGATAGCGGCTTAGACAATTTAGGCCCTGTCTTAGAGTAAAAACTAAAAAAAAAGATCTGGGGATATAGTGCAGAGCCTGGGTTAATACCCAGTATTATTTTAAAAAGAAGAAGAAAAGAAATCATATAGGAGATGCCAACGATATAGCTCAGTGGCACAGTCCTTGCTGGCAAGCACAAGGTCCTGAGTTCAATTCTAGGCAAAAAAAAAAAAAAAAAAAACCATACTGGAACTTAAAAGTCCTTAAAGTTAGCCTCACCAAAAACCAATAGCAGTACTAATTCACCAACATTTACATAGTGTTTTATAGTTTATAATGCATATTCTTGTTTTTCATGATGCTGGGGATTGAACCAAAGACCTTGTACTTGCTAGGCAAGTGCTGTACCACTAAACTACATTCTCAGCCCCCTATGTACTTTTTGGTTTTAGCTTTTAGGTTTGGGGTTTTTTTTTTTTTTTAGTTTTTTGAGACAGGGTTTCACTGTGTAGCCCAGGCTGGCCCCCAAAGCACAGCCATCCTCCTGCCTAAGCCTCCAAACTGCCGGGATTACAGGCGTGCAGGACCATATCTGGCCTCCTAGGGACAACTGTGCGCCTTATCTCATGACTCTCCCCATAGCCAAGTGTCTGAAGTAGAGGCTGCCTTTTGTTGCCCCACTTACTAAAGGAAGTTCTTCCATGTGCTTCCATGTGGCAAGCGGTGCCTGGGAGAAAAAGTCAGAGGCAAGACCTAGGTCCCGTGCTCGCCACTCGCAGCTTGAGAGGGAAGATGGAGGACCTAACTCATTCCAAGGTTGTTTCATGAACTCTCTAACCTGGCAGCAGCCAGGTGCAGGGCTTGGCATGTGATCTGAATATCGGAGTCAGCCAAGCAGGGGAATGGGGAAGCATTCCTGGCAGAGTACGGGGTGTACAGAGACCTGGGGCAAAAATGGGCTTGACTTTCTGGAGCATAGGGAGCACTGCTTGGAGATGGGACAGAAAGGTGAAAGGACAACTGTGAAATGAGACAGAAAAGATAGGCTGGCAAAGTGCAAAGGGGCAGCTTGCCCTACCATAAGGGAGAAAACCCTGACTTTGTTTTGTTTTGTTTTGTTTTGCGGTACCGGGGATTGAACTCAGGACTTTGCACTTGCCAGGCAGGCGCTTTTTCTACTGAGCTATCTCCCCGGCCTGAAAACCCTGACTTTGAACCTTTTTCTTTACCATCTTATTCAGACATGCAGCCCTCTCCAGGCCAGAAGAATTATCCTATGAAGTCATCAATATGCAAGCAACACAGGTACGTAGAGAGGACCTCACAGGGTTTTACTTATTTATTTACTGAGACAGGGTTTCACTATGGAATCCAGGCTGGCCTTGAACTCACTGTGTAGCCCAGGCTGGCCTTGAACTCAACAGCATTCCTCCTGCCTCAGCCTCCCGAGTGCTGGGGTTACAGGCATGCACCAGGATGTCTGACCCAGGGTCTAATCTTATTCCTCCCCGCATCTTGTAGTAAGCCTGAACTTCAGAGACCCCCTTCTCTCCCATCAGACTGCAACTACTGTCACTATTCTGACAAGCTGCAGTCCTTCCGACAGGTCCTCTTCATCCCTTCCCCTTCTGGTTCTCTACTAGGACCAGCAGCGAAATGAAGAGCTGGCTCGGATCATGGGAGAGCTCGAGGTCACAGAGCAGCTGAGGCAGAGCACCAGCAAAGGGGACGACCTGCTTGCCATGATGGACGAGTTATAGCTGTGCTGACCAGGCACAGCTCCCCCACCCCCAGGGTCCAAAACGATGCTGCTAGTTTTTCACCAAGTGAGGTCATTACCTCTAGTTCTTGCTTATGTGATATAACACTGTCCAGTTTCCTCAGAGAGTACACTTCCCTGAAGACTCTTAAACCAAACTTTTCCCATTTAGTCCCAATTCTGTGGCAACCTTGCCAAGCATCCTGGGTGGAAATATGAGCCCCAGAGCTATCAAGGAGACCCTGTCATTATCCTTTTCAGTTTTGCTGCCTTACCTGTCCAACAGGGACCTATACCTCACAGGTGCCTGTAAGTCTAACAAAAGCATCAGTGTTTGCCGGGATGTGCGCTGCCCTGTAGGTAAGTTGGACGTCAGAAGGCAGTGGTTTCCATCTGTCAGGGCCCAGAGCAGGTGGCTCTCCTCCCCTTGGCACACAGGACTGTCGTCTCCCAGAGATAGACCAAGTAAGCCAGGCTGCGGTGAGGCACGTGGGCTATGTATTTGTCTGCACACATCCCCATCTGTGCATCTAGGTAGTCTTTGGCTATATGGTGTGCTAGCCCTCAAAAGACACCCAAGGGCCAGGGAGATGGCTCAGTGGAATAAGCGCTTCCCTGGCAAGCAAATGGGCCTGAGTTCAATCCCCAGTTCCACACACAAAAAAAAAAAAGAGAGAGAGAGAGAGAGAGAGGGACCCAGCCTGCTATGCTGTGACATTTGTCTCTTCTGTGTCATCTTCGGTCATCAGGCAGAGCCTTAGGCTGGCTGTGCAGGAGATGTGAGTGGGATGTCACTTCCCCTTCCATGTGCCAGCAGAGCCACTTCCCTTGGGACCCATGGGAACTATCTCAGGCCAGGGCTGCTGCCGGGTTTCAGGAAGCAGAAGCAGCCTCCCTCCCAGGACTGAGGAACCCATCCAGGGCATGGGCCCAGCCACTGTGCAGAGATCAGGGTCCGTTCAGTTCCATGGAAGGAATATCTGGAAAGATGGAAGTAGGGAGACCCAGCTGAGCAGGTCATTCCATGAAAGGGGGCCAGCTGCAGGGACCACTACAGCCCCCGCATCGTGCAGAGAGTAGAGCCAGGCATAATCCTGGAATGTGAGGGTGGACAAACTAGCCCAGGATTTGGATACACAGAAGTAAATTGCTAGATAAATTTAGTTTGCTTCCGGCCCACTAAAATTATACTTCCTGGCTGGAAGAGGTGGTGTACTTCTGCAATCCCAGCACTCAGGGAGGCTGAGGCAGAAGAATGGAAAATTCAAGCCCAGCCTAGCAACTTAGCAAGACTGAAAAAATGAAAACTAAAAAAAAAGGGGGGGGGCTGGGGAGATGGCTCAGTAGAATAAGTGCTTGCCTGGCAAGCACAAGGGCCTGAGTTTAACCCCCAGTTCTGAAAAAAAAAAAAAAGAAAGAAAGAAAGAAAAAAAAACTTTAAAAAGGGGCTGGGAATGTACCACAGCGCAAAGGCCCTAGGCTCAATCCCCAGTGTGGAAAAAATAAATGAAAAATTTAAATTTAAAATTCAACAAAATTTAAAAAGTTACACTTCCTTAACTATAAAGACATCTGTCCTGCCCCACAAAACAGTTCTGTCTGGAGGGGAAGCCTCTTGCTGCAAATGCCTGCCGCACAGGAGCCAGGACCTTCCATGCAGGGCCCTATAGGTAACCTGGCCACCAGCCAGGACCTGGCTGGGAACCAGAAGGGAAAGTCCTGTCTAACTCTGAGGCTGGCTTCCTCCGTGCTGTCACAATCCTGGGCTTCCCTGTCTGAACCTGGACAGTGGGCCACCAGGTGCCTGGGAGCAGCAGCCGCCTGCCTCCACCTATCCCAGCCCAAGGCTGGTGACTTTCAGTGTGACTGTCCTCTGGTGAAATAAACAAGATACAGATCTCTGTGATGAGGTAAGCGTGGAGTTTCATGTCTTTGAGACTTGCACAATATTGAGAAAAACAAGTTTATGTGTAGGGTGGCTGAGCATATCCAGAGGAAGCATGGGAGGCAGGAAGAAGCTGCACGTGCACACATAGCAAGAGGGAACAGAAGAAAGAGGCTGCAGAGTGAGCTGGACAGCAGAGCACCTGCAGAGCACGTGAGGCCGTGGTTCCAGTCCCCAGCAACGCAAACACAAGGCAGGGATTCCTCTACTAAAGTGTGGGCCAAGTACTAAGGACATATCAATGTTCATTTAAAATCAGAGCAAAGAGGGCCAGGGAGATAGCTTCGTGACATAAGCACCCGCCTGGCAAGCGCAAGGTCCTGAGTTCAATCCCTGGTACCAAAACAATAAAAATAAAATCAGACCAAAAGAGTACAAGGGTCTCAGACAACTATGCCCAGCACACTTCAGGGAAAAGGGCCTATGGTTAGGATCAGGGCACTGTGCCCTGTCCCATCCCTGCCCCCAATTCACCGTGTCTTCTTGGGCCATTACCCTACCAGGACTCAGTCTCCTGAGCCATAAGAAAGAAGACCCAGTTCAGGGACTCCATCCCAATTGGCCCGGAGCAGTTCTATCTAGGACAGGCCCTGCCCCAAGTGGGCCCTGAAAGAGGGTGTGCCACACCCTATGCTCTGGGGAGCAGCGCAAATTCCTGGTCGTAGAGAGTTATGTGAGGCAAAGCTGGGGAAAGGTTAAAGGACTTAAATGGTTCCCAGAAGAAAGAAGTAATAAAAATCAAGTGTGAAGGAGAAAAGAAAAAGGGAAGGGGGCCGGGGAGATAGCTCAGTTGAATAAGTGCTTGCCTGGCAAGTGCAAGAGCCTGAGTTCAATTCCCGGTTCTGCCAAAAAAAAAAAAGAGAGAGAAATTAATTGATCTTTTAATTCAACGAAGAAAGTCAGCAGAGTGTGATGGCACACACCTGTCATCCCAGCACTTGGGAGGCCAAGGCAGCAGGGTTATCTCCAGTGGGAGGCCAGCCTGGGCTACAAAGTAAGTTCAAGGGCAGTCTGAACTGCATAGCAAGACCCTGTCTCAAAGTCATCCCATGTAGTCCACATAAGCATCTAACAACTTCAAAGGTAAAAGTCACTTTTTTCCTTAGATGCAAATCCTAGAAGGAGAGAAACATTTTAGCATGACAGTTCCAAAGGTACCAGCTCTGGTTAGCTCCGTTGTTTAAGCGCCTGCTTGGGCAAACCCAGTCAGGCGCAGGGGACCGTGGTTTGATCCCCAGCTCTACATGCCATACCAGAGCAGCCCTTAAGGCAGCCCAAGCCAGCCCAAAAAAAAATCCTTCCCAAAGGTACCAGCTCCATCCACATTGGATCAGATGCCTTCAGTCACATTGTCTTTGTAGTCATCAACTTTGTCACTGTGATTTACCTGTAGTGTAATTACAGCCACACTGTCCAGCCACAGGAAACCATTACAAAGAGATACAATTTTTTAGAACATATATAGACTGAGCATAACCTTAAATCTTTTTTTTTTTTTTTTTTTCCCAGTACTGGGACTCAAACTCAGGACCTTGTGCTTGCCAGGCAGGCACTTTGCCACCGGGCTATCTTCCCAGCCCCTCAAATCTTGTGTGTTTGGTTGGTTGGTTGGGTTTTTTGCTTTCTGCTTTTTGAGACAGGGCTTTGGGCTCACATTGTAGTCCAGGCTGGCCTCCAACTCTGGGCAATCCTCTTGCCTTGGCCTCCTAAATGCTGGGGTTACAGTTGTCCATTACCATGCCCAGTTTTATCATCTCAGATTTTAGAGACTCAAAGTCTTAAAACTAACCACTCTATGGCTGATTCTTCCCAGCATAGCTGAGACGTGATGTAGGGTGAACTCTCAGATGGAAACTCACTTTTTTTCTGGTGAGACTGCTAAGACACACTCCAAGGGCCACTGGAAATTATTTTCGAGTCTTTGATTGCCTTACCACTCACTACCACACTGCAGTTCACTCCTGGCCTGTTTCCTATTCCTTACCCTTACCCCTTCCCCCATTGCTGAGCCTGGCCCCAGGCAACCCTTAGTTTGCATACTTCTGCAGATTGTTTTGCATCATTTTGCCCACAGCGGTGACCTTCAGCACTCACCTCTCTGCTGCGGTCACTCCCCCACCCCTTCTGCAGGCTAACTCACCTGATGTCCCTTATCACTTGACACTTCAGAGTCTAAAACTGAAGCCATTTTTACTTAATATATTTACTTCACTTTGAAAAGGCATTAAGAAGCCAAATGTGGTGGTGTGTACCTGTAATCCCAAACTTGAGAGGCTGAGGCAGGCAGGATTACTGGAGCTCAAGCGTTTGAGGCCATCCTGGACAATATAGCGATTGAGACCCTGTCTGAAATAAAAAAGAAAAGGGGAGAGGGAAGAGGATTAAGAAAAGGAAACAACCTATATTATGTACATATACTCCCCAAAATGATTGTAAACTTCATGTACGGCGAAGATCTAATATCATTTGAAAAGTATATATATATATATATATATATATATATATATATATATATATATATGAAAAAGAAGGGCTGGAAATGTCACTCAGTGTGAAGATCCTGGGTTTAATCCCCAGTCCAGAGAGAGAGACAGACAGACAGACTAAAATGCCAGCAGAATGAGGCAGCCCACGTACCATGCCAGCCACCCCTGTACATAAGAACAGTGACGGAGACTGGGCGTGGTGGCACACGCCTGTAACCCCAGCACTTGGGAGGCTGAAAACAGGAGAATCATTCCAAGTCCAATCTATGTAGTGAGACCCTGTGCTAAATACAGAAAAGGAAAGGAAAGGGAAGGGAAAGGGCAGAAAGCAGTTCTAGCCTTTCAAATAGAAAGGGAGCTGAGTACCTGCCATATAATCCTACTCAGGAAGCTGAAGCCAGAGTATAAGACCCATCTGGGCAGTTAGCAAGACCTTATCTGTTTTGTGTTTGTTGTTTCATTCTTTGATTTTTGAGACAGGGTCTCACTATGTAATTGAGGCCTCATTCACATCAATCCTAGTGTCTCAGCCTCTGGAGTGCTGGGATTACAGTCATGTGCCTGTTTTTGTCTTGGTTTGTTTTTTTTTTGTTGTTGTTGTTGTTGTTGTTTGTTTGTTTGTTTGTTTGAGGCAGTAGTTCTCTCTATATAGTTCAGGCTGCCCTTAAACTCACTATGTACCCAAGGCTGACCTCAAACTCATGTCAGTCCTCTTGCTTCAGCCTTCCAGCTGCCAGCTACAAGCATGCATTATCACGCCTAAGACCTTGTCTTTAAAATCAAACAAATAGGGCCAGAGAGAGAGCTCAGTAGAATAAGTGCTTGCCTGACAAGTGCAAGGGCCTGAGTTCAATCCCGGGTTCCACCTAAAAAATAAAAAAAAAAAATCAAATCAAATCAAATAGGCTGGGCTACAGCTTGTGGTAGAGCTAATACTTGCCTAGTAGCAAGTGCAAAACCCTGGACTCATGCCCTAGGGCCGAGGAGGAGGAAGGGAAAAAAATTACTAGCAAGGCTTCAGGCAACTTGAGTTTTCTGGAAAACTAGAGACCCTCAGAAAAAAACAAGGAAGGCTAGCTAAGAGGTAGAGAAAAACCCTAGCACTAGAAACAATGCATCCAGTGACACAGATACTAGGACAGAACCAAAAGAGACACTTCTGGCTTGTGTCACTTGCTCTGGGTTTAAAGATAATAATGGCCGAGTTTAGATCATAAGCCCATATTATAGCTCATGCAGTTCAAAGACAGCATCAGTGTTGCCTTTAACTGATCTGTTATGGGAAGCAGAACCTCACCTCCCACTAAAGTTCACACACATGTAACAAATATGTCCCTGAGCCTTTCTCCTCCGCAAGCCACATGAGCTCCGCTGTGTCCAGAGAAGCCCCAGGCAAGCCCCTAACCCCACTCTCCTGGATACCCAATGTGCTCTGCCTTCCACCCACATTCCAGGTGGGATCAGCTTCCAAGAATTCGTATTGGCACTTCTCAAGGTCTCTAATGTTTATTCCTCCCTGCCATTCCCACTGTCCATTTAGATGCCTACCCCTGTCTCACCACACTTATAAAACTAGTGTTCTTCATGCAACTGTGTTTTATGGTGTGAAGCATTTGGGCCCCCTGGAGTCTTGTTCCTGTCTCAACATTAGGAGACTAGTAAGGAGGGTAAAATTTACATAAAAAATTATAGTGAATCTGGCCAGGCTTGCTTGAGGACACACGACTGTAACCCCAGGACTGGGGAGGCTGAGGCTGGAGGATCACTATGAATTTCATGTGAGCCTAGACTAGATATTGAAATCAAGGCCAGCCTGGACTACATGGTGAGACCTGTCTAAAAAAAT